GGTTTGTCGGCTGGTTAGCCAAGTTATTTACTTGTTTTTATAAATAGTCTATTGAACCGGAAAAAAATATTGCGCTTTGGAAATTCCCTGTCGCCAATAAAAGGTGTTATACTCATTGTTTACGTTATGTGATTATTTAAGTTTACTTTTAAAGAAAGCCGGATATTAACAGCAACAAAAAAATAAATAAATAAATAAACCTTGCGTGTCGCTCATTTCCGTCCATAACTCCGGTTTGTGGTATTTGCCAAACGCATATGGAAAAATTGCATTATAAATCAATTTTTGATCATAATGCGATCCTAAAGACGACCGGTGGAATTTCATTTACATTAGCCTTTGTCTCAGATAAATAACTTAACTCATGAACCTCATCGAGCAAAGGAAGAAGTAATTGCATCTTGTATCTTAATGCTTAACTGTTCTTCTTCTTCCAAAAAAAATTTTTGGCAGATCAACGACAGGTGATTTACGATGCTGTGTAATCGATTCTGTTTATGCGCAAACACGAAATGTCTTTATTAAATTATGTTTCTTATATTTCATGCGTCGTTGTCTATGGACATATGACATATATGCCTACGATAGTTTGTTGCATTAATGTGCACATTACACACACACACACACATCCATTAAGATTTGATATTTCAATCAGTCTGGATACCTTGATGTGTGAACTTGACTTCCTGCTACCTAGACACCATCGCCAATACATGCAGACTCCAGTTTGTTTTGGAGATGATATTGAATGCAATAATACTGATAAGCAAGAAAGGAAAAGCTTTGTTTTTTTTCTAAATAAAGAATTGAAGCACGTCTTCAACGGGCAAATAGGTAGGGCGACATGCTCGATCGATCATACCCTTCACGCGGAACAAGACAAGTCTTTTTTTTCCTTTTTTTCTAATCATTCAAAGAGAATGTCTTCTAAACTTGCAACACGCTGCTTGTAATAAGAAGCGCATAGAGAGCGGAATGTGCAATGAAATTTGTCGCTCATTTCTTCGTCGCAAAAAGTTACACAAGCCTAGTCTGTCTGCTTTGCAACGCATAGAAAAGGATCATCATCGCCCCATAGCTAGTCAGCATTTAATTTTCGATCATGATTATGCGTTGCATTCACATGCAAAACTGTATCTGTGAAAAAAAAAAAATCGTAAATAAGAAAAGAAAACAAAACGGAAAAACTGTGGACTTCAAAACAAGAAAACTGTCCTAAAAAACCATATCTTTCTTATACCGTAATCATTAACAAAAGAAAACAAAAGCGTAAACAGAGATCTCTTACGAAACGGCCTAAAGACGAAAGAAGGAATAGAGAGAAAGACGCATGCTGTCACTACACACTCGCTGACGTAAAACCACATGGTGCGTATTATGTTTACGTAACACTATGAGAAACGCATGTCATCCGCAATACGCAGTAACTGCGAACACTACGCTTCACGTTCAGCTTGTAGACATAAACAGAATACGTTTTACATAAACACAACAAAACCAAAGTCAAGTAAACAAACAATGAAAGACATGACAGAAGACACGTAAAGCCGGCGAGAAATGTCTGTCATTGAATAATCCGATAAGCGAATGAAAGAAATTAGGTAATCAAAACAAAAGAAGAGATAAAATAGCAGAAAAAAATATTTTAAAAACTTTGCATGCTTCACATATAAATATTAAATTTATTTATTATTTATTAATTGTTATTTACGCATATGTTCGCATAAAACAAAATGAAAGTAAAATACACTCCCAATTATAGTTTAAAGAAATGCTTAGTAAATGTATTATCAATGTTCAGACTAATAGTCTACTTTTTGCATACAAACAGATTAATTGTCGTTGGACATAAGTATCTTGACCTATAATGTCAGCTGACTAATAATACACAGTACAAAAACGTACATGCACCCGTGCACGAGTCTTGTATTGTCACAAAAACGGAAAATTCAAATACTAAATCGTTTAAGTCAGCGTATAGATAAGTAAAACCAATGTTTATTAACGACAAAAAAAAATTTAATTACATATGCACACACAAAAAAATATGCCACTTAAAGCCGAAAAATCTGTAAAATATATTTTAATCTATGCGACTGACAAAAAAAAAAGCAAAAAACTATTCTTTGTTTCCTTCTTACTTCATTTTTGCTTCAAATATCACAGAATCGTTGATCTACATTTTTATATTTTAAAAAAATAAGTAAAAAGATTGCAGACGGGCAAGACCGACCGTAAGATACTCCACACTACTTCGCCCAGTAGCCAGTAGGCCTTTTAAGTATATAAGGATTTACATTTCCTGACGCGATAATATCCAAAAACTAGACCTACGTGATCCAAATTTGGCAAGGTGAACTTGTTCGTCAATTTACTATTATAAAAGGTTACATGCGAGGGGTTTCTGTTGTAAAATAGGCCCCATCGAACCAAAATTTTTATACCAATTTAAACTGTCGAAGTACTATTACTCAGGGAATTTTGTCAAAAAATTTTGAGAATTGTAGTTTTTTTCCATGTAAAGTGGAGTGGTCGAAAAAGTGGACCGATCAGAGCCATTTTCAATAACGTTTCTCCTTGAATCAAAAGATGTCAGTGTGCAATATTTCATCGGAATGTGCGACCTATAGGTTCAACATAAAAATAATATAGGCCGACATCAGACGGACAGACAATCTTAGATCGATTCAGACTTATTTTCTGAACTAGGGAAGACAAGCTTAGAAAATAATTCTGAATGGATCAGTATAACCAAAGATGGGTCTTTCATAAGCCCTTCTAGGTTTTATGGACGTCCGCACAAATTTAATAGCAAACTGTCAAGAAACTTATTTGGAAGGAGAAATCTAGTGGTTAGGAGAAACGTAGTGGTAAAGCGACATTGCAGACTTATCGTAACAGTTATTATACTTTTCATCACTTGCCATACAAAGGTGCATTAAATTTGCGGATGTATGCAAGACTCAGAAAGACCTGAGATGATACCGCCTTTTATTGTTCCGATTAAGAACAATTTTCTGAATCAATTTGAGCTACATACGGCAATTTTTGATATACTTTGATGAAATTCGCTACAATGATGTGTTTTGGCTCCAGAGCAAACGCTATTTAAAATGGTTCTGATCGGGCCACTTTTTCGACCGCTTCCCCTTACTATGGATAGTCGTTACATGAATGACGGCGTGATGGTGTAGGCTATTTGAAAGTGGACGGTGGCCCAATATATTGTTTTCACTTGTTGTTAAGGGAAATTTTACTCTGTTTCTTTTCTGCTCTTTCTTTTGCAATAGCTGTTGGCACTTTGTACGGGATCGTTTTATTTTTATAAATCAATGTTTCAGTCTTCTACTGCAAGTTCTAAAATATAAAAAATCCAGCACAAAAGCACTACTTACGGCCAATAGTAATTTTTAATCCGAACTGAAAAACAGTTATCATAAACACAGAGAATTTTATTCATTTTTTTAAAAGAGCCAATTTAATTTCTTAAACGCTCATCATTTAAAAAAATTCTATGATCAGGAACAACTTCTTCTTACTTACATTTATTCGTTGGTTTTTTTTTTTTTCTTCTTGTTATATTCTTTCAGTTGTTAATCTGTTATATTTTCAAAAACATGTATTTCGAAATGGGCGACATTTAAAAATGAAAATTTCAAACTATATCTAGCTGAGAAAAATTGAAATTAACTAAAATGTGAAAATTCTTAATCCATTTAACGACATATATCCTTCAAATCGATTTGTAAAATGTATGAAATACGAATAAGTATAAATGAATATTCATCTATATGTGCGAAAGTCTATGAACAGCACAGTGGGTTACAAGATTAAAAATATCACATATATACATATATATATATATAAAGAAGAGACAAACATCGAAAATGCACCGCAAAAACTAAAACTTTCGTCATATGATGCATCAAGCAAAAGCATTGAATTTTGCTTAGATATTTTTTTTTTTTTTTGGTTTATGCTTCTTTTTTTTATTATTATTCATTTTTTCTCTGTTTGTTTTATGTTAACAAACAATTATATTAAAAAATATATATACGGAGGCAAAAAAGAAACACCGCAGATAGAGAAATAATAATAATGACAATAACAACAACAATAGCAACAACAACGGCAGCACCAATGGCAACAACACGAACTATGAAAATGAAAAAAATATTTAAACAAAAAAAAAAAAAAAAAAAAAAAAGATCAAAATAAAAACAGAAAACGAAACAAAATCCAATTCAAGCGAGAAATGTAAATTTTAAACACGTTTTGCTCTTTGGGAATTTTTAGTGATTTTTTTCTACACACATATATCTCTCTATATATACATATATATATATATTTTTTTTTTTTAATCGAACGTATGATTTTTTTATTGAATTTAGTTTTTGTTTTTCGTATCCGGCTTATGAGTAATCCGCACAATTCCAGGAATTGAAAAACGGGAAATTAGGTTTTTTTTGTTTTGAGATGTTTTTTTTTTTAACATTTTAGAATAAAGTAAAGCGACGATGATGAAAATTTACTTTTATTTTCACACACAATTGTTGTTACTGTTGTTTACTTTTTTTTTTTTTTTTTTATTTCTTTAACTGGGTCAAGCAAGTTACTACTTCAATATATTTGTTTCTTTATTGTTTTTTCAAAATTTTCTATGCAATAAATATTAAAATTATTTTTCATAGATTTTTTCTTTTATTCATTTAGGCTTTTATTTTTTTTTTTTTTTTTTTTTTTTTATTCAGAACACAAAATTTCTTCGCTTGTTAATCAATATCTGACTTTAATCACACATGCCTGGCGAAAAATGACCTCATATCAATGTTGATTTTCCTGGACACTTCCTGAGCACCCTGAAATAAGTGCTACGAATCCCATAAGGTATTTATATATATGTTATCAATCACGATAAATCGCTAGTTTGTCTCATTGCACATTTCAAACCCGAAAAGTGGCAAATGCTGAGATCGAAAGATAAAACTTAGTACACTTACTTTGACTAAATCGTTTATAAGAAACGTTGAAAACACAATCGAACAAATTTCTTTACATTTTCAATAATATTCTAGGACTTGCAAAGCGAGAAATAAAGTTCGTGTAAAGCCAAGTGTGTGACGTTCCCTGGCACGCCCGTTATTTAGTCTTGATGGTTATCGAAAATTAACCGCAATATGAATATAAGTTTATTTTTTTACTTATGGTATTTTTATCACTTTTTGTTATCATAAGCAATTTAATTAATTTATTTTTTTGTTTTCTGTCATTATATCGTTTCGGTATTTTATAACCTTTTTTTACTTAACTTTTTAATTAGCTTAAACAATTGTCATGCGGTTTAGTTTTTTTCGGGTTTTTTTTTTGTTTTCATTTTATTTACAAATTACGAAACACGTCCACCGTTTTCTAAAGTCGAAAGTTAACTAAAAATTTTTACGATCAACACTAACTTTACTCGTTCATTTTAACTCTTCAGTGAGCGTGCGCAAATGTTTATTTTGAACTTATGTTATATAATGTGTTTGCGTGTATGTGTGGCCACTTTTTTCTTTTTTTTTCTTTTATTTTTCAAAAATCAAAAAACATACAAAATTTTTAAATTCAGAGAGCACAAAAAAGCTTTTTTCAAAGTTATCTGAAGCTCCCTACTGCTTGCAATTATCTTTAATGCTGTAGGGAGCAAAAAAAATCTGATAAAAGAGAAGAAAACAAGAGAGATAGAGAGAGAGAGAAGATCGTAAATTTTTGCATAACTTGTCTTTTATGATTGGGTTAACTTCCCCAACGCTCGCAGAAGCATTGAATTGATTTAGATGTTCGTAACTTATGTTGGCAGTGATGCGCTCTAGAAATCTCGTCTAGCATATTGACTGCGTATTAAGGCGATGGATCACTGTAACAGCTTAAAAAAAAAAGAATTCCTTTGGAAATTTTTCTATGGATAAAAGGAAAAATAGGAGAATAATAATATGTGAGGAGATTGTTAAGCGAATTAGAAAAAAAATGTATTTTTAAAAAATGTTAAAAGATGGCAGCATAGCACCCATACTCTAGAAACACCTTTAGCTCAAGGGACTCTACGGCGATTAGTATAACTGGTCCAAATTTGAATTAAAAAAAGCAAGCAGGAAAATTATATTCGGTCGCGACCCAAAAAGATAAAAAAAGCAGGAAAACTAAATTTTCATGCTGTCTAATAATGAGTAGGCGTGGCTGGTTTTCTTTATATTCAAAAAAAAAAGTTTTTATCGTCTAGGAGTGTGGGCGTTGCGTCCTTTGAAAAGTTTAGTTCGCCTTCAAACACTTTTGCAATATTTTAAGCGACATCTTCATTCTCGCTAACGGAAGAACATTTACCACAGATAGTACACAGTCGGACAAGAATTTGTATACTTTATGGGGTTTTTGAAGTTTGTTTCTGCGCATCACAAACTTGTCGAACAAACAAGGAAGACATTTATATTCGACAGTGATCGAATCTTTCATACCTATCACCGCTAACAAGCAAAAACTACGTAAAGTAAAAGACTTTATAGTTTTGTTGTATAGGCGTTTAGACTCGTTGTAGGCGTGTTCTGTGGAATGTTTGGGTACTCTTCCGCAATATCTTAATTTTTGTGGAATATTTACCACAGGTATTATGCGGTTGCGCAGAAGGTCGCATGAACAGATGAATAAACGGACGCTACTGTGAGATGCACGATGCGTTCACTCACAATCGTTCCAAAATGTATTCCTGTCAATGAAGACTTTAGGAATGTTCAACGCCATTTCATTACGGGAAAGTGCGCCAGGGTGGAAAAAGCCATTGTCACAGCTTGTTTTCTTTTGCAAGGCAAACGGCATAACCTTTGTCGATTATCTTGACAAGAGTTAATGCGACATTGAATCGGTTGGATGGCGATTAGATTTGAAAAAGAAAAAGTTTATTCTCATCACGATAACACATCAGCTCATACATTAAACTTTGCAGAGGTCAAATAATATTCACTGAGATAGGAATTTCCTCCGCCTTTATCATATTTGTCATCCAGCAATTACATTCCAATCCGTAGCTTCCAAAGACATCTTCTAAGGAAAACCTTTGCAGCGAACAAAGAACTCGAAACAGATATCCTATTCGAACTGCTCGACAAATGGCATTATTGAAGTAAAAGAAGAAATAATGAGGATAAACGGAGGGATAAAATCCATAATTAAATTATTATCTTACCTTATAAGTGAGAGAGTACATATAACAAAGAGGGAAATCAATAAGGGAAATCAAGCCTGAAAATAGTAATAAAATTAGGTTTCTTCAGCGTCCTTTAAAACACCTCAAAATAAACTGGGGTAGCCTTATCTCTCTGGACACTGGAATAGCTCAATTTGTCCATTACACTCTATCATGGATTGTACTCTTATTGTACCTGACAGATAATAGGAATAACTCGGTTTTTTGTTTTTTCGGTCATAATTATAGGTTTACGTTGTTTAATGCGAGCGTTCCCACCACTTTTTAATTTCAATTCTTATTTTATGGGCTTTTTGAATTTTGCGGTAAATTGTATTTTTTAATCAAAGACATTTCAACACAGACACAAGCTTCCAAATGTATAGGCTTTCTTGCTAAGCTATACTAACTTTGGTAAAAAGATGAGAAAATCGTTAATCTTAAGCTAAACGGAGATTATGTTGACTACTAAAATATTATTTCACGCAAAAATATTTTGTTTTACTTATTTTGCACGCCTAACTCGTTGATCGAACAGATAAGTAATTAATTGATTCAGTGCTCTATGCTGGCCAAGAGTACTTAATTTAACTTGAGCGCTTATTTGTTTTTTTTTTTTCATATTCATAAACGACATAATAATAATTATTGCTCTGTCAATTTCAATTACTATTCTTTGTTATAAATTTTAAATGTAAGAGATTATAATCGAAAAAACAAAAACTTCTTAACGAAACTGACAAAACATTAAAATTTATAGAAGGTACTCAGCTAATTAACACTTACCTTGTGGCAAAGTGTTATAAATGTTATTTTAAATACGTGATAAGTTGAAACGTTTCTTGAAATTTATATGGATTAACGTTTGTTTCTCTCTCTTTTTTTTTTTTTTTTTTTTTAGCATACATTTTTCATAATTTACAGAATTCAATAATTTGTGTTAGCAACCATTGTCAAAACAAAAGACTTAAGCGACAAACTGTGTATAATAAAAAGAGACTATTTTTGTTTTTTTTTTTTGTATTGATTGCTAGTGCGTACGAGTTCTATATTTATAGAAACATATTTATGCAAGCAACGTTTGCTAACTTTTAGTTTCATTTATTATTTCTCTTTACTTTTTTTTATGAACAAAAGAAAAAAAAAAAAAAAATGGCATTTAACCTCTTTTAGCCTTTATTTTAGACAAATATTTAGATAGACACAAGAATAAAAAAAAAACCAAGCAGGATTGAAAGAATTTATAGAAAGCCATTAAAAATAACCGCCGACGTGCACAAGTGTATAGAAAAATAAGAAAAAAAAAAAAAATGATAATAATAAAATACTTCACTTCATACTAATAAAAAAACTTTAAAAAAATCAAATAATACTATGTGCTATTTGATATTTCACAAATACTTACATACATACCTACATACATGCATACATACATATAATGTCGGAATTTTATTTATATATATATGTAACTATTTATTGTAATCCAATGCTGCGATTAAAGCATAAAACACAAAACACAATAGAAAATAATAAATGTGTTTTGCTCCAATTGAAAGCCTATGCTTCTACATAGAAACCTTTTTATTAATATAATGGCGGCAAATGAAAGCCACAACAAAGGGGACTTAGTATAAATAACACCTGAATGAAAACTAAATGTAAATGGAAAATTCGCCAGACGCGATTACAAATGCATGTTAGATCGTTGAATTGGCTATTAACGTGAGGGCGGGCATTCTATATTTCAAAAAGTGAATACATTTTTTTTTTCCGCCCGTTATATTTCATTATTCAATTTCCCTCCCGTTTCGTCAGGTTACGTTTTGTTTATAACATCAATAAACAATATTTATAATGAATGCATGCAAAAGCGCAATTAATGTTAATTGTGCACCATGTACAACTAACTGTTCACCGTCGCGTTACATATTCATATATATGCATGCTTGGATGTTTGTAAGTGCCAACGTTAAGTACATATTGCATATATAAGGCAGTTTACTCTAAATGCATTTGACTTTAGTGCTCTTGCAATTGATGCAATTGTTGCTCTTATTGATTTGATTTGAGGGGATTTTAGTCAAAACATATGCATATATACGTAAACATTTATCGTATAACGGTAACACGCAGCCTGGTGGCGGTGATTAAAGTATCGGAAATTACAGCCTCCGGCCAAACAACATAAACAAATCAAAATTTACGAACCTTTGTAATAAGTTCTATGTATATTATGTGCATATGTATGTACATAAACACACACACACATATATATATATATATATATATACATTTATTTATATATACACTCACATATATACACGTTCAATTTCATATGCACAGGGTACACAAGATATAAGATCTTATATAGAAACGCTTAAAATAAAATTTATTAGCGGTGATGTATTTTATATATTTTTTTCTTTAATGTATAATTTACTTTTATTGTTGTTATTGTTGTTCTTGTTTTTATTATAGTTTGGATTGTTTACATTGAGAGAGGGCATGTACGTGTTCTGTTTTTATGCTTTAATTTATTTTTTTCTTTGCTTTTTTTTTTTTTATTATTTACCATAAGCAAACTGTTTGAGAGTCCAATGACCGTCCTCGAAAATTTTTGACGGTAGTCATTCACTTGGTGCTTGCATATAAGCTTATTCTCTCTACACTTCTTAAAAGTGAGACAACAAACAAAAAGGTTATATTAGCTTCGAGTCAAATTTCTCGAGCAGACCGTCAATTCTGCTTGTATGATCTTTATATTTCATTGAATATAAAAAATTTCAGTGTAAGAAATTTAAATACAAAAAATGGAAACGGTTTACTATTAAAAAATGTTGAATTTTCGACATTTTTTTGTCTTCTTTCTTATTTTGCAGAGATTTACTTCTCCCAGTTGCAAGTAAATGTCGTGCCTTTTCAAGCGAGATCTATGAAGGATGAAGAAAGTTTTTGAAGTAATATCCTTCTAGTATCAGTTTACAGTTGAGATAAGCCAGCGCGTGCTTTCCCTGCATCTGTGCTTTCAATTTGCTTGCAGTGAACCTTTGATGACAAAGTTTTTTTGTTGATTGTGAGCGTAATAGTTGGCCAATCGACACCATTTCTATATTCATTCTTTAGATGGCCTTCACAAAGATTTGTAACAATCTTTAAATCAATTTCTGTCATAGATTACATGTAAGCTTTTTTCCCCAAGATTGGCGCAG